GCGGCCATAAACTTCATCCGAAACCGTGTATGACGGCTTTCTCTTCGGCTCTGGCAACAACAACAAGGAGCGTGTGGACTATCTGCATATAATAAATTCGTAGTAATTACAGGCGGCAAAGGCAGGGTATTGCCAGCATGCACAGGGGAAACCTCGCCGGTAAATGCACCATTCAAACTTTTTTATTTCGGAATTTCAAAGCTTGACCTCGAGTGATTAGAACTTTTATTCCATTTTCAATTTAAGACTGATTTTTTTCGCCTCGTGTACTGGTATAATTATCATCTAAATAAAATTCCATTATTGTATATTGTACCATCTGCTTTATGCTCAGGTGAAGTCTCGTATGCGCGTGCGTGTGTGTGTGTTTAATAATATATGTGCCCGTGTACGTGTATCTATGTGCTTGCTTAACTGCGTTTGTGTGTGAGTGAATATATACGTTTGTGTGAATACCAACGCGTTTGCATGTGCGTGTGTAATTACAGATATACATGTTCACTGCGTATAATGACTTAAAAGACAAGCAGGCAATCAAACCACTCCACGCACGCACGCAGAAAGGGAGGCAGAGAGGAGGCCGTTAAACAAAAAAAAATGGGGAAAAGGCGGACAAATTAGAACACAGAGAGAAGGGGGAAGAGAGAGAAAAAGACGAAATGAGTCTGATTGCTCCGGCGTAAAGCAAAGACTCTCAATATGTTCATCAATCTCGCTTCACCAACGTGCAATCACTCCAGGTTCTTGATCATCACCAAATATAATTAGATCATTCAGCACGAGGTCATGAAAAAACATTTAATTACGGAAGAGGGTCTTGATAATCAAACATACTAATAAAGTTAACTTGCTTCACCGAGTCACCGTCGCCATGATCTAGACACTATCGAAGCCTTTAGTAGTTGTTGGTGTTTATCTTTTTGCTTTTTGTAACTAAGATACCTAAGCCGTTTCATTTTTCGTTTTTTTTTATTGTCTGTATATTTGTTGATGTTATTTATATCTAAGATTCCTAAACCGTTTCTTTTTCGTTTTTTTTTTTTTTTTGTATCTGTTATTGTCATTTACGTATAAGTTTCCTAAGCCGTTTTATTAAACGGAAATGCCGCTTTACAGGATTTATCTCATGAAAATGCAATGAGATAAGGGAATGAATACAGATGTGCACGACTGAGCACTGACCGCTGACATGCACACGACACTGAATCAATACAGCTGTGTCTACATTTAGTACGTGTGCATTGTCCTGTGTGCGATTTAATATGTGTATCCTCACTTGCATTTGTCATTCCAGTATATCAAACCTTCATGAAAATATTATCTCTATCATCATACACACAGGTATGAACAAACAAAATACAAACAAAAATACAAACTACTCAAAGGCAAGACCCATTTACAAACAAACAAACACCAACAAACACACACGGACGCACCCTATCACCCTTATCTAACCCAATTGCCGGGAACAGAACAGCTTGTTTACTGAACTCCTCGATGCAATTAACAGCCCCGGGCGGCGTATGCATGCTATCAGAACTTCTTGCGGAGGGGAAGGGGAGGGGGAGGGAGAGGGGACGGGAGGGGGAGGGAGAGGGGAAGGGTAGCAATCATGGAGGGGGATCTATGTCTATCAATCATTTTATTTGTCTTTATGTATGTATATATATGTTTGTTTGTGTGTGTTTGTGTGTGTTTGTGTGTGTGTTTGTGTGTGTGTGTCAGTGTGTGTGTGTGTGTGTGTGTGCGTGTGTGTGTGTGTGTGTGTGTGTGTGTGTGTGTGTGTGTGTGTGTGTGTGTGTGTGTGTGTGTGTGTGTGTGTGTGTGTGTGTGTGTGTGTGTGTGTGTATGTATGTATTCCAATCCTCCTCTTCCTCCTCTATCTTTTTTCGTTTGTGATATCACGTGACGAAATATAAAAGAGGCATCTTCTTATCCTCTAAAAGTCCAAACATTCCATATCATGCGCGCTAAGCCTAGAAAAAAGACGAATACATACATGTACGCATACATGTATACATAACACAAGTGCGCGGAAGAGGGGGCTATAATACAAATGCGCGCCTCTTCTTCTGCAAATAAAGATAACATGCACAGCGATAAAGCTAAAATATGTTCCCGCAAACATCAAGAAAGCAAATAATGACGCCAATTATTCTTCGCCAACTTTGCCGCCACGTAAGCAAGTTTAACCGGGTTATAACACCTTCTGCCAAGCGCCTTCGGTCCTCTCAGTCCCTCCCTCGAAACAGATGACCCCCTGTTTTGTTCTTTCATTTCTGCTGTTCTCGCAATTTCCTTTTTATTTATTTAATTCTTCATTATCTATCTATCCGTTTGTTTTATCGTATTGCTGTTCTTTGGTCTGTTTACTAATTGTCTGTTTTGTCTGTCTTTATTGGGCTTTATTGCTGTTTGTCTGTAATTTTACTTGGCGTTAACTAGTCAGTAAACATGTGCGTGTGCCTTCTTTATCTATCTGTCTATCTATCTATTTACC